AAAAAATCGATACAGGGCTTTAGAATATCGATACAGTATCGGGAGATGAAATATCGCGATATTTCAGTGTATCGATATTTTCTTACACCCCTAATCACTATCATGATCAAGCAGATGCTGCTCAACCAATCATCTCCCCTCCCAAAACACAAACACAAAGATAAAAAGTGTGAAATGAGTATTGGACGTTAATTTTGGCCCAGTTTTACATATCGGACCGATACCGATATTAATGCCGATATATCGTGCGTCCCTATTTAAAAGGTTTTAAATTTAACACTAAAACCTGCATGAACCCTGTATAAACATTTTCACATATTTTTGGCATTTAATGTGCAATTTAATAAAAAGTCAAATATTAAGCAGAGAATTCAGTGACGAGAAAATGTATTCTTTATTAACCTAGACTGGTATTTAATCTTATATATTTCCCTGATTAAAGTGGCTTCTTGTTTTTGTAATGCAGGCAAGCGATCCAGTGATTGAAGCTCCAGAAGCCAACTTTATGAAGCTAGTGCAAGGCCTCATTGAGGACACTGACGGCAGGGAACACTTCCTTAAGGTAAAGTTACAGGTTTGTCATGGTGAAATAAAATACTGCTTGAAGCATCTTAATTGTTTGAAATATGGGTCCTTATTGCAAATTTTTATGTAGATATTGTGTTTGTATTCATGAGAATAATTATTTTTAACAGAACGTGTTTCCTTTGGAATATGGACCTGATTTTGACACAGCATTAGAGACTCTGGTTTGTGAATTCTTTACAAGACTTGAGGAGCTGCTGCCAATACCAGACTTCAAACAGGCAAGAGATTGTTGGCAGATATTAAAGTAAGGGAATAAGGTTGCTGCCAGCTGTATTTTCATATTTTGTTGTTTATTTTTATCCTTGCATTTAGACAGCATCTTGGATCAGTGCTGCTCCTGCTGTGCTGGAGGAGTACATGCAGTGTGTCTCAAATGGAGACGACCTTAAATTTCTTCTTCAGAGCAAACAGTGCCATGGAAAGTTAGCAAAGAATACTATTGGTAAGTTTGTCTACATTAAAAATATGCAACCCATACGCTTTGCAGTAATATTTTTGTTTATTTTTTGTGCAGCTCCATTTCAATCAGATGATCTTCTGATTTCATCTCTGGCTCTCCCTCCGTCCTTGGAAGTGGCCATCTCCTCCCATCCAAACGTTTGTGACGATGAAAACACCGACGTCCCTCAAATTGTCATGTTCGACGAGGAATTGTCCACAAACCCTTCTACTTCAACAGACTTTCCAGAATCACCCAAAAATACTGACATCCCTTCATCTCCTCCCAGGAGGCAGCAGTTGGGGATCCATAAATGCCCCGAGTGTGATAAATGTTTCAAGCATCACTCTGTCCTCATCGAACACCAGCGGGTCCACAGCGGTCTGCAGCCCTACAACTGCTCTGAGTGTGGGCGGGCTTTCAGAACAGCCACTCTGCTGGCTGGACACAGGCTCCGCAAGTGTAAAAACGCTGCCTATCTTTGTATCAAATGCGGGAACAGTTTTCCAACGTCACTCGACAAATTCAGGCACCACTGCCCAAAACGAGGTCGCAGCCATGAATGCGGCCAGTGTGGAAAGAGTTTCCCAAAATCTAGCAGCCTGAAGGAACACCTGCTAACCCACGTTCAGAGCCGCCTTTTCAAGTGCAGCCACTGTGGCGCTGGTTTCTCAGGAATCGGCGACCTCAAATATCATCAGCAAGTGGACCACGAGAAACCTTACCAATGCAAGCAGTGTGGAAAGAGCTTCATCTCCTCAAAGTGTCTGCTCAAACATCAACAGCGCCACGAAGAGGGTGGGGAACTGGAGACAGTGAAACACAGGGCTGGAGGTAAATATAGGAGGAGTGGTTATCGGACGTCGTTGTCCTCCAGGAAGACCTCTGGCAAACCCGGCTACCCAGGAGGAAGGGTCACGCATAACTGTCCGCTATGTGGGCGCAGCTTTAAGTATCGTTTTGAGTTCCTGGAACACCAGAGGTTCCACACAGCCGTGAAGCCCTACAAGTGCTCTCATTGTGGGAAATCTTTCCGGACTGAAGCGCACCTGTCCGGGCACAGGAAGAGGAAGTGTAAAAACGCTGCTCACATTTGTACCAAGTGTGGCTCTCAGTTCAGGTCTCTCCACGAGCGGGTCAGACACCAGTGTGTGCAGCTGCTGACCAAATACGAGTGCTCTCACTGCGGGAAGACCTTCAAGATGGCCCACCTGCTCAGGAACCATCAGATGAGCGAACACCAGCTTCCGTACAGCCCCGACCATCGCTTTAGGTGCAGGTACTGCGACGGCACGTTTCCAGGCATCAGCGAGCTGAAGTACCACCAGAGGGTCGACCACGAGAAACCGTACCAGTGCCAGGAATGCGGCAAGTGCTTCCTGTCGGAAAAATGTCTGGCGAATCACGAGCTGCGCCACAACGACGACCGACCCGAGAGCTGCCTTGTCTGCGGCCGCGGCTTCAGAAACCGCTACGACCTGAAGCAGCACATGCGCACGCACACAGGGGAGCGGCCGTACCAGTGCACGCACTGCTCCCAGTGTTTCTCCACAGCAGGAGGGCTGCGGAGTCACACCCGCGTCCACACGGGCGAGAAGCCGCACGCGTGCCCCGATTGTGGCAAGGCTTTCTCTCAGATGGGCGCGATGCGTACCCACAGGCTCACGCACACAGGAGAGAGGCCTTTCAAGTGCGCCGTTTGTGGCAAAGGTTTCACCATGGCGCACAAAGTAACAGTTCACATGCGCGTGCACACGGGAGAGCGACCCTATGTGTGTTCTCAGTGCGGGAAAGCCTTCTCAGACGGCAGCGTGCTCAAGCAGCACATGCTGAACCATTCAGGGGTGAGACCATACCACTGTCAGATCTGCCCCAAAACCTACACCTGTCTGAACCACCTGAGGAGACACCTGAAGAGTCATTCTAACATGAACTGAATCGAGCTTGAAGGCAAACTGGAGCAGACGCTTCAAACCAATCAACATGCTGAACTAAACATACTGAAACTGCACTATTTACAGAAAGGTACTCAAGTGTTATTTGACCAAGAAGCCTCCAATATAAAAAAAACGCTGTACGAATGTTGACATGGAGATAAAAAAAAATCGTTAGTTGCAAACGATATATTCCCAGATTGTTAGAACCAGCACAATTTTTGTTCTTTTTATAGACTTGTTTTCCAGGATGAATACATTTGAATGTTACATAAACAATAATTCACAGAGCATCAAGAGTCACAGGTGGGAATACTTCTATGAACTGCATTTGCATTTGCCTGCAGTGTCTCAACCCYTTAGGAAAAACTCAGCAGGAATAAAGCTTCACCCCATCAGGAGGGTTAGAGTTGGTCAATGATGTCAACCAGCTAACAGCTGCATGTTTGGAGTTCACCTTTTTACTTTGTATCTTGTAAAGTCTTTGATTATTTCTTCTTTTTTGTGCTGTTAGCATGTTTTTCATGAAGTGGCAGTACATTTTTGCCCATTGCACCATTTAGGTTTAAGGAGAATTTAAAAAAAAATAAAATGCTGAATGCAAAAATTAAGCCTAGAAATATTTTTTTCCACTGTGACCTGGAGGTGTCCCTGTATTATTTGGCTGACATGCTGTGTTTTTAAGTTGTAGAAATTTTTGAAAGTATTTTTTGGACAGACCTTGATGCACAGGAAAATTGATGATTTGTAAATATGTCGAAATGCAAGATGAAAAAAGGAATTCAGGAGTTTCGGTTTCATTTTGTTTGCTTGCTGTCTGCTTTTTTAAAAAATTTTTATTTTTATTATTTTTTGTTATCTTGATTTGAGTTTCACATTAAATTAGCTTGGTTACACTTTGGTTTTATTTTTCTTACTAATAATACAAGTTACATACAGGAATTAAAAGGTTTCACTAGATGGCAGTAAGGGATCATTAAGCATTTTTCTTAAAATATTTAACCTTTTTTTTTCTCCTGACTATTACATGTTGACACTGCTGCAGATTGAAACAAGCCAACAGCAGTTGGAGTTAAAAATGATCTGTCCTATTTCACGTTATTAGCTTTCTGGGGCAGAGTTTGGAGTTTTGTTTTCAACTTGCAATTTCCTTTTGTTTTGACTACCGCCCACTGAAATCTCAAGTGTAGCAAAAACACCAATAAAGGGAATTCCTCACTTTTTTTTTTTAAATAGAAGTTTAGCTCAGCTTCACTAAAATACACTCATGATTCTGGCGCCTGTGTTGGATCTTAAACAAGTTCTTGATTTGTTTTAAGTTTTTCTTAGGTCTCAGCTTTTGTTTTCGGTGAACTAGAAAACACATTTTCTCCCTCTTCCCCTGCTGGTGTTTCTTTAATCACAGGTCCCTTTCATCAACCTTTTCCTAGTTTCCCTGAGACATCATCACTCTCAGGGGAAGCACATCCTTAAAAGCAGAATGTGGCGATGACTTAAATGTTCCAAGATGTTTCTATCAGACAGAAGGCTCTGGCTGCGCCTAGCTGCATGCCTTCTCTCTGACGTGGAATCGCTGCAAATCTTGTCTGAACGTCGAGATCCTCTGAAGAACTGAGCCACCTTTTATGAGCCTTTCAGCTCCAAGAAGCACATCTCTTTGCAGCTTTAAGCTGACTTTTTATATTTGAAAGGTTCTTTCCTTTCAACATTTTTAAACGGGCAAATTGAGAGAGTTCTATAAAAAAGAAGTCGAGTAAAAACCTGACTAGTGCCAGCACATTCCTCTGGATTTTTATGGATTAGCAGTTTTCTAATGAATGTTGGTATAGAGATGTTTGAAAATGCACGCGTCGTAACGTATAAGAGCCTCACAGCTGTAAAAAAAAAAAAATCCATCAGATTTATGATGAGAGCTGCTAATAAAGACAGATCATTACCAGATGTCCCTCTTTTTCTCTCCCCTCATCCTTCCTTCCCTCCCCAACTCACTGATCTCAGTGGAAAATCTGATTCCAAGCCAGCCCTTCCTTAGTCCCACACTTTGAAAACACACACACACACATGTCCACAACCATCATGCAACATCCACCCCCTCCATCCGTTCCCATAAGAACACACTCCACTTCCACACACACACCATGACTTTTTTCCAGAATGATTTCCAAAATCATCACGCAGTGTCCACTAGATGGCGCTGTGGTTCTTCCTATTGTCCAGTTTAAAGGAGAAAAGACCCCCCCCCCCTCCTCCTCATCCTCCAAACTGGCTTTTATGTTCAGGTCAGGTCTGGACGCCAAACTGAACCAGATGTACCACAAATCCACCCACTTCATCTTCCACAGAAACGGGATTTTTTTCCCCCTCTTTGTTTTCAGAACACAAAATGTTTCCATGATGTTTTTCAGCTGCTTCTCATCAAATAAMGACCCTTTATTTTCCAGCTTTGCCTCACTTGATTTTCCACAGAAAATAAAACCAAATTAAAAACCGTGTAAACGCTTTTAGTCGGAGCTCTGTCAGAGAGAAAATAAAACAATGTAATTTCTTTTTTTATTAATCATTTTGATATTAATAAAATATTCAAAAACTTATTTTTTAATTTTTATTTTATTTACATAATCTAGATCCCAACACAGCTGCTGGAAGYATCATCAGTTCATGCCAAGGTGATCTATATATTTAAGTCTGGTTCATGCAGATTTGCTTGACTCGGAACAGGCTGCAGGTTTCTGTGGATCCCCTTTTAAGGAAGCGTTGCACATCTAAGATTTTGTGTTAACCTTCGTCCCGTGCGCGCACATCTTCCTCTTCCTCAGAACGAGCGCGTGAACCCCTCCTCCTCTTCTTTCCTTCTCCTCCTCCTCCTCCCTCTCTCCGTGCGCTCTGGTCCTCCTCTGCGCGCTCCGGTTCTCGCTTCGGACAAACTGCAGCGGGGCTAGTGGGGGTCTCCAAAAGCTTTGTTGAAATTAGCAGAAAGCAGTGCGCCTCAGGAGCCAGGGAGGAACGTGGGGGCTACTTTTCAGGGGACCAGGGTGTCGTGTGGTTTGTTTTTCGGGGTCATTTTGTTTGCAGTTCGGTCATGGAGACTCTCAGAGTTCTCCTTGCGCTCCTGTGCGCTTTCGCGGCTGCAGCCGTATCACCAATCCCAAAAGCCGGGTTTGCGGGTAAGTTTGTTTCAAATAAGTTGCTCCAAGCTCTTGTTCTTGTGTTTGGTGTTTATGACTCAGTGCCGTGTGTAAATCGGGTTGGTTCACTGATGGCTTGCTTCAGGATCATATATTGTCATTGTATTTGAGTGTGGATTTGTTTTTCAAGCTACAGAATATGGCTGCAAAAATTCTAAATCTTTAAAAAAAAAAATGAAGACAGAACTCTGGCCCACAATAAATAAGCCTGTGGTGGTTTCCTCTTGTGGTGCCTGTAGGCCATAAAGCCAAGATGTGAATAAGATCTGTTAATGCACAGAAGATGAACTTTAAACTATGGGTGGAGAACTAATTATTTATCATAATGTAGCTTATTTTAATATGAGCAGTTAGCTTCATGACCTTTACTGTGATGCTGCAAGCTACTTCGTTATAATAACCTGTGGGCCTCCTGTGCTGTAATACCTGTAGGCCTACCCTCCCATTAGGCTTGACTGGATAAATTGGATGGATTCTAAGCTTTTGTGCAGATATGTTTACATTTTGTAGCTCAGACTGAAATTTTCTGTGATTTTTTTTTTTTTTTTTTTTAATTCTTGGTTTGTTTTTTTGTAAACAGAGTGTCCTGTTGACCTTTTCTTTGTGCTGGACACATCTGAGAGTGTCGCCCTCAGACAGAAACCTCCCAACTTTTATATTGACCAGATCAAGGAATTCACCAAACACTTTATAGATGAACTCCATGAGATGTAAGACAAACACACACACACACACACACACACACACACACACACACACACNCACACACACACACACACACACACACACACACACACACACACACACATGGTTTCATGTAGTGACAAAGGAAAAAACAAAAAAAGTTAAAATTCTTAACTTATAAAGTGAAGGCAATCAAGAATTTCGGTGCTCCAGCATCCTAAAGTCTCATCTTTCTGCAGCAGTGACATGTGACACACTGACCTACTGCTACAGGTGCAACATATGTGACCACGCCCTTCACTGATGCTGACAGTGCAGCTATGATGTCACAGTATAATAGCATTTGATTTCTATATTGTTTCAACAACTTCAGTTTAACTGATATTGGTTTAATTTGATTGTCAAACACATTTGTTTTGTTTTTGAAAAGGATCAGAATGAAATGATAAGATCCTGAGTGACTTTGTGTTTGCTTGCTGTTTCTGTTTTCAAGGCGCCACGAATGCGATCGCACCCTGATGTGGAACTCGGGAGCGCTCCATTACAGTGACGAGGTCGTTCTTGTCAGAGAACTAAGTGACATGAGGTACGACCGCAGTGCCCTGAAGGCTGCCATCGATGGCATCAAATACATCGGCAAGGGCACTTACACCGACTGCGCCATCAAGAGGGGCCTGGCAGAGCTGCTCATTGGGTAATTACAACACGTGCACGGCTGCAGTGTGAGCTGATGTTGCAGTGGTCACATCTCAGTGTCTGCCTTCGTGCAGGGGCTCCCACTACCATGAGAACAAGTACATTGTGGTTGTGACTGATGGCCATCCCATCACTGGGTACAAGGAGCCATGTGGAGGAGTGCAGGAGGCTGCTAATGAAGCCCGGCAACACGGGGTTAAAGTGTTTGCTGTGGCCATCTCACCTGACCAAGAGGTACAAAACACACACACACTTATATATTTCTGAAGTTGTACAATACACACAACTAATTGTTTGACTTATTTGAGTTTTCAACATTTCATAAAATGTTAACTACAAATGTTTCCACCTTGAGATGCTTTTTAAAAATAGTTTAAACCAATTTAGAGATTTAGCCCATATCTGGGACACTTAGATGTTTTGATGTTTTTGTTTAACGTAGATGTAAAAACTCGATGACTTAAGTCCAAAATGCACAAATGCATTGTACAAACACAATTTAATTCAAAATGAAGGGTATGTAGAGCAGTGCAAGTTAATCAGGGCCTTTACTTTGTAGATTCTGTGTCAGTCCTGTGGTGATCTGGTGAGGTGAAGTTAATCTCCAACATGCAGGTTTATAACACAGCAGGAGTACCTCTAGACCAAAGGTTTTCAAACTTTTAAGCTTCTGACCCACAAAATTGCAGTTGCAGAAACTTGTGACCCCAGATATTACTGGTTTACTTGTGCAAACTTTGCTAATATGGGCATAATAACAACATAAACAACCCTAGTAACTACAATACTACTTTTATTCATTTATGATTATTGTATATTAAATTATTTTCAATAATTAGGGTGAAAATATATTCCATTAGCAAATTTTTTGCATTTAAATCGATGTATGGAAATCATCTGGGGACCCTTACTTGATATTTTGTGACCCACATAGGGGTCCCGACCCCAACTTTGGGAACCACTGCTCTAGACCGTTTGATTTACTGTGGATGTACTGTACTGACCAGACTGGGCAACAGTCTGGCTTTAGCATTACTGTATATATTAGAAAAATATCAAACAATAAAAGATGATTATCCAAAAACATAAAAAATATCATCAGTAAAAAAAATTTTAAATAAATTGAAGTGTTTTTAAGCTAATGTATACAAAAATACCAAAAAGCTGTGTTGTGGATGTACCAAAAGAAGAGAAAAGGGAAAACCTGGTTCATTTCAAAAGTAAGCAGATTTTATCTTATTAACCTCAATATAGATGTGGTCTGAGCTAATAATGTAATAATTTATAATTAAAATACGTTTGAAGCCAGTGCTGTTAYTTACAGAATTGGCTAGCYGATATTAGCTTCTGCAGTATATATTGCTATACAGAGTGTAGCACTCTGCTGAGTCATGCAGAGTGCACATTATTATATATTATAAGCTCTATTTCATGTAATATTTACACAGTGTAAAATAATATTATATATTTGACTATTTTTAGGTTTCCATTAAACAAACATGATCTGTTGAGAAGATGGTTCAAAATATCACCGGGTGTACAGAGGGCATTTTCTAAGTGTTGTTTGTATTTATTGTTATCTAGGTAAAAAATAATAAAAATACTTTGTTACTAGTTGAAGCCATAATTATTCAACTAGTTAAAAAGTCTAAGTTACTGAATTTAGATCTGGTTTAGAATACATATTTTCCATCAACTAGCTGTTTTACATGATTGTTGAATGAAATTTACATAATTATTAATATATGAATTAATTAAAAGAGGATTAAAGATAACGTGGCTGATCCAATTCAGCTTTCTGTTAATCAAATATTTGGTTTATCAGCTGTGAGCTGTTGCCCTATTTTATCACCATTTTTACTTCTTCATGTATTGTGTAAACTCTTTGACCTCCACAGACTCTTTCCATCTGCCATCATTTCCAGGATGAAGTGGATGTAGCACTGAGTCAGTAGATTGATGATTATTTTTTACATTATTTGGAAAATTCGGTCTGCTGCAGCCAAATGTGTGTCAAACTGATCTTTAATATTGACTATAAAACATAAAAACATGTTTTGATTCATAAACATCCAATTGAAAAGTTTATGCTGACAACATGAACTGAGCCTAAGGTTATGTAAAAAAGACATACCCTATTAAACTGTTCATAAAATTGAGGTAAGTCAGTAATGAGGCCAAACAACAAAAGTCACAAAACTAAATGAAGCAATGATTACCTCTCACATTTATCTGTCTAATTTACAATCTAAGGTCTAAATATACAGAAAAGACATGATCAGTTGAAATCTTTAAGGATCTAAATTGTTTGTTGTTGCTTGAAGACACTGGATTTTCACACAGCATAAATTCTATAGTTCAGTGTTTGGATGAGTTAATATAATGATGGGTTTATTCTAATGTTGGTAACATGAAGTGTCAACAAACCAACCCATACCAAACCTTAATCAGTCAACTAATTAATCAACAAACCAATTAACCAAGTAACGAACCAAACCAAACACACCAACCAACAAATCATCTAACTCTGACCAGCCCAACCTAACCAACAAACCAACCACCAACCAATTAACCAACCAGCCCATATCTGTCTACCATAACCTAGCCCAACCTAACCAATAAGCCAACCACCAACCAATTAACCAACCAGCCCATATCTGTCTACCATAACCTAGCCCAACCTAACCAATAAGCCAACCTAACTAACCAGCCAGCCTTTAGAACACCAACCAACATAACACAACTCATTTCAATTCACTCAACCAGCCAAACTTTATTTATATACACTTTTCACAAACAGAGCCTATCACAGCAGAAAAGTAAAACTATCTTTATCATCTACCACTTAATCACAGTAGTTAGGACAACCAGCAGGTCCAGGAGAGAAACCCAGACATCCCTCTACCTAGCTACACCCTCCAGCTCCACCTGGAGGACTCAAGGCTTTCCTAGATCAGAGAAAATAGAGTAGTCTCTTAGGAAGAACTTCTAAAGGGTGGTGTCCAGAAGGGACCCTTTGGTTCCTGAACCACCTCACTTCACTCGTTTTGATGGAGAAGAGCAGCATGTCTATTTCAAGCTGCCCCAGATGACAGAGCTCCTCAGCCCACATAGGGCTGGACCCAGTCATCTCACAAAGGAAGCTCATTTCAACCGCTAGTATCTGGATTTGGTTCTTTTAGTCATGATCCACACTTCCTGACCAAAGGTGAGGATTGAAATGTGAACAGACCAGCAAGTTTAGAACTCTGCCTTTCAGTTCAGCTCCTTTTTCGCCACAACAGCCCTCACTACTGAGGACGAGGCACAGATTGGTTTATCCATTTCCTGCTCCGTCCTTGTCATGATTCTTGTTTCATGGTTCTTTTTGTTAGATTTTATTTGTTTCAATGGACCTCATGCAAGAACCATTCGTACGAACAAAAGTAAAAGAAATTTAGGATAAGAATAGGAAAATCTTACATGAGGACCAATGTTTGGTCATCTTGTCTTATCTTCTCATTTATCATCATTCTAGCCTGGTAAAAACCAGACCCTTGTTCTTTGCTGTAAAGGGAAACTAGAATTGTGCGGAACTGCATAGGAAGGCAAGGGCCAGACCACCATCATTCATGAACAAGACTCTCAGATACTTGAACTCCTCCACTTGAGGCAAAGACGCCCCCCTGACCCAGTGGGAGGATTCCACCTGGTTCTGGTTTTAACTATTCAGAGAGGAACTGACTCTCATTCCACTTGATTCACACATAGCAAAACTAAGATAAAATAAATAAGGGAACAAACCTACAACTACAAAGCAAATTAAGTTTGAACTGTAATACTCGGTTTAAAACTCAAGGGGACTTGTCTTTTCAAGCACAAGCACCTCAGGGGTCTGCAACCTGCGGCTCTGGGGCCACATGTGGTTCTTTGGTCCCTCTGCAGTGCCTCTTTGAAAATGTGACCAAACATAACAGAATAATTTTTGTTTGTTTTTTATACTTACAAAAGAAATCGATATGTTTGTAAATACATGATCAATACTACTAATACAAAAAGAAAAAAAACATGTTAGCTCATGCTAGCCTGTTGTCGCAAAAATAATCCAACTTCTTTCTATGATCTTTTTCTTAAATCCACCAGAATTACCTTAAGAGAATTTGAAGACTATATAATAATAAGAATTAGAAAAATAAGCCTGAACAGTTCAGTTAGTTTTTATGAAATTTGGTATAAACTATATGCAGTATTTATTTATTTATTTATTTATTTATTTATTTATTTATTTTTTACATGGATCTGGTCTTTTCATTTGTCCTGATGTGTAAAAATAATAATAAATAATATGTAGTCGCAAAAGCAGAAACACGTTGGAATAATACGAGAAGAGTCTGCGTATATGATAATCAAATATAGTTTAATTAATGAGCAACAATCAAAACAGAACTGAATCAGGAAGGTTCTGTCTGCTTGCTACTGGACGCATCAGCAGAACACAGCCAATAATATACATCATGCCAACACCATGTGTCAGTTTACAACCAATCACAGATTGCCAAATGTACTGTCCCGCCAATCACAGACTCCCACCAGTCCATTATGGAGTCCCGTTGTCCAGACAACGAGAGCGTAACGAGCTATCAGAAAGATACCGTGATGGACAGTGTCAAGGGAAACAGATAAATAATTAGTCCATGACATAATAAAATTCACAATATATATTATAGTTTTATAATGTCTCCTCCACTGGCCATAAAAGTTCCCGAAAAGGCCTCAAAAAGGCCCACAGACCACCATTTTATAATCACACATGTAGCTTGCTTTGCGGCTCTGGACACATTTTCTTAGTGAGCCAAGGAGCAGAAATGTCTCTTTTGATCGTAAAGGTTGCAGACCCCTGCCCGAGATCGTGGAACACTCTGCCCCTGTGGCTCCGTGAGGCTGACTCTGTTGACTTCTTTAAAAAGCAGCTTAAGACACGACTACTCAGACAAGCTTTTAGCTAAACGTATTACTTAGTGTTTTATTAATTGTATTAACTTGTTATATTCTTTCACACTTACATTATGTTTGTATACTATTTGAATTTTGCTCCTTGTGAAGCACTTTGTGATTTCTATCTGTTAAAGGAGCTAAATAAATAAAGTTTACTTACTAATAATGTATGAAGGGAATAAACAATTATGACTAATATTATTTGTAATAAAGACTGAAGAAACTAAAGAAACAAAGTTTTAAGAAGTAAAAGAGGTGGATTTTAGAAATATGAAATAAACTACATGAACAAAAACAATCTTGAAAAAAGTATTAAAAATCTAACTTAAAATGTGTGAATTAATGGAAGGTGAATTAAAACTATTTACATTCAACAAAATATAAATATGAGTCATGACCAAAATTTAGCAAATTGGGCTTTGATTCGAATTTAAAAATAAAACAAAGCAGATCTAATATAAAACTTGCTGAACTTCATGAACAAACTCATAAAACTAAAGTCAACTAAAAGCCAGATGAAGTAGACTGACTGGGTCCACTCATCTTCACAGAATAAACCAAAGCAGACAGGATCCCTGAGGCAGCGTTTTCAGATAAGAAGACTGAAATGTTTGTGTTTCTGATCTCACCAGGACACCAGACTGTCTCTCATCGCCACAGACCAGAACTACAGACAGAACTTCACTGCTGCAGACGACACCAGATCCACCAAGATCAAAACCATTCGATCCATCATTGACATGATTGTGTGTATTTTTTTATTCTCCTCCATTCGCACATTGCAGTATATATGGATTTGTGCATTAGAAACTAACCATTTTTTCTTTCTTTTTTTATACAGACAAATGAGACGAAGGATGTGGTATGTGTTTTATTTGCTGTTTCATTCATGGATAAAAGCACATTGTTGTCAACAGCTCACTGTAACTTAAAACCAGATCTATCCACAAAACCTTTTCATGACATTGTGGCTGCTGAGGCTCAGTGTTTGTGTAGTAAATCTGACTGGTGTTCTGTAATTAACATGTTAGAAGCATCTGTTTTGTGATTTGTCTTTGAAAGCGACTGAGTCCACTGAAGTCCAGATTCTGCTAAACATTCAGACTTTCAGGAAACAGGAAAGGGTTGCTGAGGAAATGCTGAAGGAGCTGAACTAATGACATAAAAATCTCATTAAGATCAACTCAGATAACAACTGTTTTTTTGTGTCCTTTAAAGTAACATATTTTGGTCTTCGGCATGTTTTCTCTGCTTTGGTTGTTTTTCATAAACACTTTTAACTCTTTAATGTTTCTCTTTTCTTTTTGCAGTGCTGCTCCTTTGATTGTCACGTAAGTATACATGTTTTTTTTATCATGTAGCTAACACAAATGGACTGTGGTCCTTGTTTTTTGAGAAATCATCATCATCACTTTGTTGTTTGGGCTGCAGGCTTCTGGAGGCCCAAAAGGACCAGATGGAGATGAAGGCGCCAAGGTTGGAAAATAAATGACCAAAATCTATAACTTGACCTGAAACAAAGTTAGCTTAGCGTGATTTTATCCATCCTTAGGGAGAGATGGGTCGACCAGGAATGCCTGGAGAGAAAGGAGCTATTGGTCCTGCGGTAAGTTTCATCTACCTTCATCATCTTCCCCAAAATAATAACCTAATATACTTACAAAAGGAGAAGCAATAAACTTGTATTATTAGATTTGTTTTGCCCATAAAGTGAATTATTTGTGTCTGTTTATTGTTGTAGGGCAGCGTTGGTGATCCTGGTCCGGTTGGCTACAGTGGAATGAAGGTAGAGAACCATTTAAGTCACTGATTTATTAAAGAATATGTAAAAAAAAATGTAATATTTAAGATTAGCAGATTAGCATTTTTTTTACTATTAAACTGGTGACACTAATCATGAACAAATCAGTGTCAATCATTTTGCTTTAAACTGAACCAATGAGGGAATAAACAATATTTTTTCTCCCCCACATTATAATAATTTGAGGTTTTCCTTTTGTCTTAAATTTTAAAAAATCTCGATAAATGTCAACACTTTTTTTTGCTCATTTCAAGATGCAACAACGTTTTATATGAAACTTATACTGAAGGGTTGCATTATTCCAGCTTTTATTTTGTAGCTCTGGGTATACTTTGTATATTTAGTGTGAGGGGTGACATAACTCTTGTTTGTAAAGTTTACAAACCCTGATTTATACAGAACAGAGTCCTGAGGTGTTCAGATCAAYTACTAGATGAACGTCCTGTCCACTTCCTGTGACTGATCTTCTTTAAGAAGAAACAAACCAATGAATTTGCTGAAATTGTCCCGTTTGTTAAAACCCCCAAAGACAGAGCTACAGGAAACACAGCTGRGCTAACATTTCTAATAGCTCGTGTTAGCACAAGTTGGTTCTTCATGAAGCACAACCAACACTAACAAATATGTATGAATACATATTTTCATGTTCCCTCCTCTTCATGCTTGCTTATTTCTTGCCTTACCAGAAAGCAGCTGTTAAATCTGAGTCTGAAGAACAGGCAGCTGTGCTCAGTTTGTCCTCCGTTACAGATCCTGTCTGTCTTTGTGACGTCAGACTACTCTCACTGCTGATAAAATGAAACAGAACATCCCTCAAACTTTTTCTTATTATACAGATGAGTTTTTATGTAAACTCATATTTCCCAACACAGAAACACTTCTATCTCCAAGCTTTTATTAGTTATATAAGTAACTGTGCTGCCTGCATAGTTTACTTTGCTTTTGACCTGAACACTCCTTTAGGATAGATATGATTGAATCTCGAGTTGTTCCTTTTTTGGGAGCATTACTTTCCCAGTAGTCAGGAGGTTTGTTGAGAGATATTTATTCTGGAGTAAGTCTGAATATCTGTATTCTGATTCTAATCAAATATCCATTATTTCATTGACACGCTTCATGCTATGATAATAAAGTGGGTTCTTTTGTTTTCAGGGAGACCGTGGTCCCAGAGGAGAGAAGGTAAGATTTTAATATCAAGGCTGGAGACTTCTGTTGGTATGAAAGGTKCAGTTTTAAAATGGTTCAGATCCTACTTGTCTAACAGAAGCTTCTCGGTCCAGTTGGGACAGCTTTTTTCTTCTGTTGCTCACCTTCAGAATGGAGTACCTCAAGGCTCCATATTAGGGCCAATTTTATTTTTCATTGTACTTGCTCCCCCTGGGATCTATTTTTCGCAAATATAACGTGTCATACCATTTTTATGCTGATGACATTCAGGTCTATCTTCCATTAAGATCTAGTGGATCCCAGTCTGTTAATAGGTTACTTGAATGCTTAAAAGATGTGAGAGCATGGATGGACCTGAACTTTCTGTATCTTAATGATAATAAGACAGAGGTCATTTTATTCAGTAACTCTGATAAACTGACAGGATGCAGTAGTGCTGTTGGACCACTGGACCCTTTGTCTGGCCGTGTGTCTGTTAGAAADCTTGGGYWHWTTTTGGATTCTGATTTTAAATTTAAAGAACAGGTCAGTGCAGTAGTCCAGTCTAGCTTTTATCATCTGAGACTTATAAGTAAAGTCAAGGATTACCTTCCTCATAATGCCCTTGAGAGGATTATTCATGCTTTTATCACTTCTAGACTGGACTACTGCAACTCTCTTTATTGTGGGATGGATCAGTCTTTGGTTCGTCGTCTACAGCTGGTTCAGAA